AATAAAGCCGCCACAAAACACATTATTCATGACAATTATTTCCTTCAACTTGTCACAAGAAAAACTAAATGTGATGTAATTAGAATATTATTAGGGCTGAGCGCTGCAATCAGCAACCCCCCCCCTCCCCCCAACCCACCCAACAGGAACACCCACTATGGAGGAGCAGAACAAGTCTTACATTCCTGCTATGAGTCGGTTTATCACGGCTTAGGATGATACAAATGTCTTTTATTAGGACAAACGCGGCTCCATTGTGACATTTTATTCTATACTTTGTCCTGAATGAAAAGCCACTAAAATGACGATTCCGGTACAAAGTATTGCAGAGTTATTTACAAGTGAAACAAAAGTTTTTTTTTTTATGTTTTGTACTTTTATGTGACATCGAACGAATGTAACAAATACAAACAGAAATAAGTTTAAATAAAGGGGGAGAAGGGGTTAATTAGGACTGATTAGGATAAACAATGTTACTTTGTATCTCTCTATCTCCCTCTGATCAATTTTTATAAACAATGTAAGCTCCATGAGGGCAGGGACTGATGTGAATGTACGCTATGTAAAAAGCGCTGCGTAAATTGTTGGTGCTACATAAATACCTGTAATAAATAAAATACATAAATGTTACTTTGTATCCCTCTAACTCCAGCTGATCAATGTTTATAAACAATGTTACTTTGTATCTCTCTATCTCCCCTCTGATCAATGTTTATAAATAATGTTACTTTGTATCTCTCTATCTCCCCTCTGATCAATGTTTATAAATAATGTTACTTTGTATCTCTCTATCTCCCCTCTGATCAATGTTTATAAATAATGTTACTTTGTATCTCTCTATCTCCCCTCTGATCAATGTTTATAAATAATGTTACTTTGTATCTCTCTATCTCCCCTCTGATCAATGTTTATAAATAATGTTACTTTGTATCTCTCTATCTCCCCTCTGATCAATGTTTATAAATAATGTTACTTTGTATCTCTCTATCTCCCCTCTGATCAATGTTTATAAATAATGTTACTTTGTATCTCTCTATCTCCCCTCTGATCAATGTTTATAAATAATGTTACTTTGTATCTCTCTATCTCCCCTCTGATCAATGTTTATAAATAATGTTACTTTGTATCTCTCTATCTCCCCTCTGATCAATGTTTATAAATAATGTTACTTTGTATCTCTCTATCTCCCCTCTGATCAATGTTTATAAATAATGTTACTTTGTATCTCTCTATCTCCCCTCTGATCAATGTTTATAAATAATGTTACTTTGTATCTCTCTATCTCCCCTCTGATCAATGTTTATAAATAATGTTACTTTGTATCTCTCTATCTCCCCTCTGATCAATGTTTATAAATAATGTTACTTTGTATCTCTCTATCTCCCCTCTGATCAATGTTTATAAATAATGTTACTTTGTATCTCTCTATCTCCCCTCTGATCAATGTTTATAAATAATGTTACTTTGTATCTCTCTATCTCCCCTCTGATCAATGTTTATAAATAATGTTACTTTGTATCTCTCTATCTCCCCTCTGATCAATGTTTATAAATAATGTTACTTTGTATCTCTCTATCTCCCCTCTGATCAATGTTTATAAATAATGTTACTTTGTATCTCTCTATCTCCCCTCTGATCAATGTTTATAAATAATGTTACTTTGTATCTCTCTATCTCCCCTCTGATCAATGTTTATAAATAATGTTACTTTGTATCTCTCTATCTCCCCTCTGATCAATGTTTATAAATAATGTTACTTTGTATCTCTCTATCTCCCCTCTGATCAATGTTTATAAATAATGTTACTTTGTATCTCTCTATCTCCCCTCTGATCAATGTTTATAAATAATGTTACTTTGTATCTCTCTATCTCCCCTCTGATCAATGTTTATAAATAATGTTACTTTGTATCTCTCTATCTCCCCTCTGATCAATGTTTATAAATAATGTTACTTTGTATCTCTCTATCTCCCCTCTGATCAATGTTTATAAATAATGTTACTTTGTATCTCTCTATCTCCCCTCTGATCAATGTTTATAAATAATGTTACTTTGTATCTCTCTATCTCCCTCTGAACAATGTTACTTTGTGGGTTTCTTACAATGTGTATTAGAAGTTGCAGCAAGTCAGATAAAGCCACCTAATTTCCTGGCTGGAGGACGTGCTGCATCATCTATCTCATTCTTCCCAAGCCTGACCTTTGCTGGCCAGTCCCTTTCATTCATTGGAATTCAGTTCTTTCAATCAAAGAGGCTCAGCATCACATGTGGCCATTACATAGGGTGGTCTGCATGCAAATCCATTCTTCCCGGGAACACCCACTCCTCAAGACTGATGTCCACCCAACAGGAGATTACGATATTTACATAACTCCTTCCAAGAGCCAGCCCACTGCTTGCCTCAGGGCTTAGGGTTCTTGAGGAAGTTATATTTTCTGGTTTTCAGGAAGTTATATACAGCACCAGTGTCATATTTACCTAAGAATATGAAAAATTATATTCTAAAAAATGGAAGTAATATAAGCAAAAACACTCTACAATTGGGTCAGTTGGGGGATGCTTTAGATATAAATATGGCTTTCTGGAGTTCTTCCTCATCTTATGTAACGTTGTCTCCTCTTTGTCTTTCCTGTGTCCTGCTCTCCAGCGGCCGGTGAGATGGCGATTTATCTTGTTGGCGTTCCTAGTGTCCATGGTCCTAGCAGCCCTTTTCCAGGTCCTCAAGACCGAAAATCCCAGCATCTTGGACCTTCAGGAGATCCTGGGCCCCATTGTGGCCAATCACAGCCGTGCCCCAGTCCTCCGCCAATCAGAGACTTTGTACCACAACAAGGATGAGTTTTACATGGATATGTCTGAGTACTCTCGGCAGTACCCGGCCCTTCAAGAGTACCACTGCCGAACCTTCATAGGTCTCTCTGGGTATTGCCGGACTTCAGACCCTCTGATCATCTTGGCGGTGAAATCCCATCCTGCCTCCTCCGGGAGGAGAAGCGCGCTACGTTACACCTGGGCTCAGGAGAGGAGGATTTGGGGATACAGGTTCCTCCCCGTGTTCCTCCTTGCCAATTCCGGCCGCCGGCCAGAGATCGAGAGCTTGGTGGAGGAAGCCTTATTTTACGGTGACATTGTACTGTGGGACTTCATGGAGAGCCACCATAACTTATCCCTGAAGGAACGCTGCTTCCTGGAGTGGCTGCATTACCGCTGTCCGGAGGCCAAGTACATACTCAAAGGTAAAAACCCAAAATTAAAGGGTCAGTCCGCCCACAAAAGATCTTTAATTTATAGGCTCACTCATCTTCCTGCTATAGTCCCTGGGGTGTTTCTGCCCAGCTTGGGTGCTCCAGAGTCCAAAAACTGTTTCAATGCTTCAGCACTCACCAGACACTGAAATGTAGTTCACTTTCATATCATAGTAACCATCTCAGGATTCTTCCCTTTGCTGAGTTGTAATTACTAACCATACAAAGCACAAACCACAGCAGCCTCAGAAGCAATGTATGAAGGGAAGGACTGGTCACGTGACACCCAAATCAAAGAACAGCACAGTAGATGCTGATTGGGTCTTGTAGGTTGTACCTATTGTGCGGTTTGTGCTATAGCGATGTACAGAACCGGGAGCTCAGCTCAGGGATGGTGGGAGCCCCTCATAATGGGCACAGCGGGTGTACAGACCCCGGAACTCAGCACAGGGATGGTGGGAGCTCCTCATAATGGGCACAGCGGGTGTACAGACCCCGGAACTCAGCACAGGGATGGTGGGAGCTCCTCATAATGGGCACAGCGGGTGTACAGACCCCGGAACTCAGCACAGGGATGGTGGGAGCTCCTCATAATGGGCACAGCGGGTGTACAGACCCCGGAACTCAGCACAGGGATGGTGGGAGCTCCTCATAATGGGCACAGCGGGTGTACAGACCCCGGAACTCAGCACAGGGATGGTGGGAGCTCCTCATAATGGGCACAGCGGGTGTACAGACCCCGGAACTCAGCACAGGGATGGTGGGAGCTCCTCATAATGGGCACAGCGGGTGTACAGACCCCGGAACTCAGCACAGGGATGGTGGGAGCTCCTCATAATGGGCACAGCGGGTGTACAGACCCCGGAACTCAGCACAGGGATGGTGGGAGCTCCTCATAATGGGCACAGCGGGTGTACAGACCCCGGAACTCAGCACAGGGATGGTGGGAGCTCCTCATAATGGGCACAGCGGGTGTACAGACCCCGGAACTCAGCACAGGGATGGTGGGAGCTCCTCATAATGGGCACAGCGGGTGTACAGACCCCGGAACTCAGCACAGGGATGGTGGGAGCTCCTCATAATGGGCACAGCGGGTGTACAGACCCCGGAACTCAGCACAGGGAGGGTGGGAACCCCTCATAATGGGCACAGCTGGTGTACAGACCCAGGATCTGTGTAGCAATCCAGTATAAAAAGTGGAGCTGCTATCTCCTTGTGCAGTGTGACTGGTCTTCTCTCTGCCCTTCTCCTGTTGTTTTCTGCAGACAGCCTGTAGTGGGTGGAGCCTCCTGGGCCCCTCCCACAGCTCTGCTTTCTGCACAGACAATGCACAGCACAGTGATAATGTCACTGCTAGTATTACAAGGTAATATCTGGGTTGTAACAGCATTTGGTTCAGCTATGGTGTCAGTTGTGTACGCTGTTTGTTGGCGGTGCACCCGGCAGTTTTTAGGTTGTGCCCCCTGGCTCCGAGCTGCAATAACAAAACACATGGATTAGGATGACCAGCCACCAGCAGTTTCTATTGAACCCGTGATCGGGGCGGTAGGTTGATTGGATCCATTGGAATGCTTTAACAATCACAAGGCGGTTGGAAGTCGGTTGAATGTGTCTGAGATTTCTGTTTCTGGGCGGTATAAACTCAACAGTTCTAATCATCTCTACCCAACTTTCTCCTCCATGACAGCTGACGATGATGAGTTTGTGAACCCGCACTCCCTGGCCTCCTACATCTCCTCCACCGTACAGAGGTTCCCTCTCCAGGTCCATGGATTCTGCCAGACTCGGGCCCCGGTGGAACGTAACGGTAAATACGGCATCCCCGTCAGTGCCTTCCCGAACAAGTTCTACCCACCGTTCGTGTCTGGTGGGGGATTCCTCTTCCCTGGCGAGGTGGTCCCATCGCTCCTCCAAGCATCGCTCACCATCCCTGTCTTCCCATTGGATGATGTGTACTTTGGTCTGTTGGCTCTCGCCGCCAATGTCTCCTTCCACCACGAGCTGCGCTTCCGTACCTTCGGGCTGAAGTCCAACGAGATTTGCCGCTTCCGGGACGTCCTGGTGGTCCACAGATTATCGAGACGTCGCCTGCTGGAAATCTGGGACGCCCTTCCTTACACCTTACCATGTCCACCTAGCGATACAGAGAAGCAAGAGTATGAGAGGATAGTCCAAAGTGTACAACGGAGTGACGACAGAAGCGCTAAAGTGGACCTGTCATCAGATAAATTATTCATATGAAATCCGTACATGCGATGTAATGTGAAACCTCTCAGAGAGATGATGAGGGACTGGTAGGATACAATAATAACCGGTTTGGAATAAATATGAGTCTAAATGTGGCCATTCACTATACAATCTCTGTACAATCTCCTTTAGAGTTACCAAAACTATGCAACATGAGGACAAACCTACCCTGGGGCATATTCATAGAATCATCAAAATGTAGATAAATTCCACAATGCTCCAAAACTGGATTATACATAAAATGCATCATTTCCATATACTAGAAGACCCGGGGCACTCAGTAGAAGACTCAGGGCACTAAGTAGAAGACTCAGGGCACGCAGTAGAAGACTCAGGCACTCAGTAGAAGACTCAGGGTAATCAGTAGAAGACTCAGGGCACGCAGTAGAAGACTCAGGGTAATCAGAAGAAGACTCAGGGCACTCAGTAGAAGACTCAGGGCACTCAGTAGAAGACTCAGGGCACTCAGTAGAAGACTCAGGGCAATCAGTAGAAGACTCAGGGTACTCAGTAGAAGACTCAGGGCACTCAGTAGAAGACTCAGGGCACTCAGTAGAAGACTCAGGGCACTCAGTAGAAGACTCAGGGCACTCAGTAGAAGACTCAGGGCACTCAGTAGAAGACTCAGGGCACTCAGTAGAAGACTCAGGGCACTCAGTAGAAGACTCAGGGCACTCAGTAGAAGACTCAGGGCACTCAGTAGAAGACTCAGGGCACTCAGTAGAAGACTCAGGGCACTCAGTAGAAGACTCAGGGCACTCAGTAGAAGACTCAGGGCACTCAGTAGAAGACTCAGGGCACGCAGTAGAAGACTCAGGGTAATCAGTAGAAGACTCAGGGCACGCAGTAGAAGACTCAGGGTAATCAGTAGAAGACTCAGGGCACTCAGTAGAAGACTCAGGGCACTCAGTAGAAGACTCAGGGCACTCAGTAGAAGACTCAGGGCACTCAGTAGAAGACTCAGGGCACTCAGTAGAAGACTCAGGGCACTCAGTAGAAGACTCAGGGCACTCAGTAGAAGACTCAGGGCACTCAGTAGAAGACTCAGGGCACTCAGTAGAAGACTCAGGGCACTCAGTAGAAGACTCAGGGCACTCAGTAGAAGACTCAGGGCACTCAGTAGAAGACTCAGGGCACTCAGTAGAAGACTCAGGGCACTCAGTAGAAGACTCAGGGCACTCAGTAGAAGACTCAGGGCACTCAGTAGAAGACTCAGGGCACTCAGTAGAAGACTCAGGGCACTCAGTAGAAGACTCAGGGCACTCAGTAGAAGACTCAGGGCACTCAGTAGAAGACTCAGGGCACTCAGTAGAAGACTCAGGGCACTCAGTAGAAGACTCAGGGCACTCAGTAGAAGACTCAGGGCACTCAGTAGAAGACTCAGGGCACTCAGTAGAAGACTCAGGGCACTCAGTAGAAGACTCAGGGCACTCAGTAGAAGACTCAGGGCACTCAGTAGAAGACTCAGGGCACTCAGTAGAAGACTCAGGGCAATCAGTAGAAGACTCAGGGCACTCAGTAGAAGACTCAGGGCACTCAGTAGAAGACTCAGGGCACTCAGTAGAAGACTCAGGGCACTCAGTAGAAGACTCAGGGCACTCAGTAGAAGACTCAGGGCACTCAGTAGAAGACTCAGGGCACTCAGTAGAAGACTCAGGGCACTCAGTAGAAGACTCAGGGCACTCAGTAGAAGACTCAGGGTAATCAGTAGAAGACTCAGGGCACTCAGTAGAAGACTCAGGGCACTCAGTAGAAGACTCAGGGCACTCAGTAGAAGACTCAGGGCACTCAGTAGAAGACTCAGGGCACGCAGTAGAAGACTCAGGGTAATCAGTAGAAGACTCAGGGCAATCAGTAGAAGACTCAGGGCACTCAGTAGAAGACTCAGGGCACTCAGTAGAAGACTCAGGGTAATCAGTAGAAGACTCAGGGCACTCAGTAGAAGACTCAGGGCACGCAGTAGAAGACTCAGGCACGCAGTAGAAGACTCAGGCACGCAGTAGAAGACTCAGGGTAATCAGTAGAAGACTCAGGGCACGCAGTAGAAGACTCAGGGTAATCAGAAGAAGACTCAGGGCACTCAGTAGAAGACTCAGGGCACTCAGTAGAAGACTTAGGGCAATCAGTAGAAGACTCAGGGCACGCAGTAGAAGACTCAGGGCACTCAGTAGAAGACTCAGGGTAATCAGTAGAAGACTCAGGGCACTCAGTAGAAGACTCAGGGCACTCAGTAGAAGACTCAGGGCACTCAGTAGAAGACTCAGGGCACTCAGTAGAAGACTCAGGGCACTCAGTAGAAGACTCAGGGTAATCAGTAGAAGACTCAGGGCACTCAGTAGAAGACTCAGGGCACTCAGTAGAAGACTCAGGGCACTCAGTAGAAGACTCAGGGCACTCAGTAGAAGACTCAGGGCACTCAGTAGAAGACTCAAGGCACTCTGTAGAAGACTCAGGGCACTCAGTGGAAGACTCAGGGCACTCAGTAGAAGACTCAGGGCACTCAGTAGAAGACTCAAGGCACTCAGTAGAAGACTCAGGACTGGTTGTGAGGGTCTAACAACACCCCTGCCTTGTTACTTGCTACAAAGTTACAATGTTGCAGTCTTATCACTGGGGAAAGGGGAGACTTAGCAAATGCTTCATCCTGCCTGCAGCAGACTGATGACATCATCTTAGCCTAGGGAAAGTCAAGGAACAGCTTTTTAATAATAAAATGTGGAGAATTTCTGAAAAATGACCCTGTTGCTGTACAATGTGATATGCATCATTCATGCAAACGTAAGGTCCACTTTAAAGACTCGGTAACCTCGGGAAAATACTTGTCTGTAATGTCCGGTGCAGGAGAATGAGTACAGAGGATACATTTTGTATGACCCATTGATACAATTTATGTACAGTTCCAGGATTTGTGGTTGTTTCCTCAAAAAATAATGTTGCTTCTCGCACCAAACAGTGTTCTATGTCTCACAGCACCATGTCATAATAGAAATAGAAATGTTGAGAATACAATTCAATTTCTTAATAACTTACTAAACAGTATTGTGTTCAGGTTGTCATCAATAAAATATGTTTGAATTATGTTTTTCTGCCTGTATTTGCGGAAAAGGACTGTGTGTGTCAGTGTGTCGGTGTGTCGGTGTGTCGGTGTGTCGGTGTGTAGAGAATATCATGACTCCCCGAATGACATTGCCTATATATACGCTATATGACCAAAGGTTTGTAGACCCCCCTCCAAATGATGGAGTTGCATTGTTTCCAGTGAAGAGTTCTGTTCATCCTCCATCATACAAAGACATTGTAGACAATTGTCCTCTTCCAGCCTTGTGGTCACAGTTTGGTGAAGACCCTTTTCTGTTCCACCATGACTGTCCCCTGTGTACAAAGCCAGCTCC